GCTTGCTGGCTGTTGGGTGGAGCTGGGTCTTGTTGTTGAGACAGAGATCTCTGGGAGAGCTCTCGCTGATTGATATTACCTGGAACCAGGAGGCCTCTGCTTGTCTAATGTCGTGAACTTGGCTCTCTCACCTCAGAGGCTCAGGCCTTACACCAGGCCAGAGCATCAAGACCCTGTCAGCCGCACGGCTCTGAAGAAAAGGGAGAAAAAAATAAAGAAATAAAAAAATAATAATAAATTTAAAAAATTATAAAAAAAATAATAATAAAAAAGAGAGCAACGAAACCCATAAACAAATCCACAAATGATCACAAGCTCTAAAAACTATACTAAGGTAAGCATAAAAAGCAGAAACAAATCAGTTGCAGGCGGCAAACCCCAAGTCCACCGTGTCAATTTTGGGATGATTCGTTGTCTATTCAAGTATTCCACAGATGCAGAGTACACCAAGTTGATTGTGGGGAATTAATCCACTGCTCCTGAGGCTGCTGGGAGAGATTTCCCTTTCTGTTCTTTGTTCGCACAGCTCCTGGTGTTCAGCTTTGGTTTTGGCCCCACCTCTGCGTGTAGGTCACCCTCAGGCATCTTTTCCTGCCCAGAGAGGACAGGGTTAAAGCATCAGCTTATTAGCTGGCTCTGTCTCACTTATGCAGGTGGGTGAGAGGGGAACGGTAGTTATAATTGGAATTCAGGGGAGTTTGTGGCAGCAGAGCCTGGCATGATGTTGCAGCAGCCTGAGGCACACCATGTGTTCTCCCAGGGAACTTGTCCCTGGGTCATGGAACCCTGGCAGTGGTGGGTTGCACAGGCTCCTGTGGGGTGTGGATAATGACCTGCGCTTGCACACAGGATTATTGGTGGCTGCATCAGCATCGTTAGGTTTCATGCCCGTCTCTGGGATCCAAGCTGATAGCCATGGCTCGTGCCTGTCTTTGGAGATGTTTAGGCGGTGCTCTGCCTTCTGTGGGCAGACGAGGAAGGAATACCCTCCCCTTGTGCATCCCGAAACAATGGTCTCTTGCCTCTTAGGCAGGTCCAGACCTTTTCCTGGACTCTGTCCCAGCTAGATGTGGTGCACTAGTCCCCTTCAGGCTGTGTTCATGCAGCCAACCACAGTTCTCTTCTGGGATCTGAACTCTGAAGCCCGAGCCTCAGCTCCCAGACCCCACCTGCCCTGGCAGGTGAGCAGACAAGCCTCTCAAGCTGGTGAGTGCTGGTTGGTACTGATCCTTTGTGCAGGAATCTCTCTGGTTTGCCCTCTGCACCCCTGTTGCTGCACTCTCTTGTGTGGCTCTGAAGCTTCCCCCCTGCCACACCCCTGTCTCCACCAGTGAAGGGGCTTCCTAGTGTTTGGAAACTTTTCCTCCTTCACAGCTCCCTCCCAGAGGTGCAGGTCCCTTCCCTATTCTTTTGTCTCTGTGTTTCCTTTTTTCTTTTGCCCTACCCAAGTACGGGGATAGTTTCTTGCCTTTGGGGAAGTCTGAAGTCTTATGTCAGCGTTCATTAGGTGTTCTGTAGGAATTATTCCACATGTAGATGTATTTTTGATGTATTTGTGGGGAGGAAGGCGATCTCCACATCTTACTCCTCTGCCATCTTGAAGGTCCCCGCTCAAAGTAGGGGAATCCTTAAATCCTTGAGGCAGGACTGTCCAACAATACTGTTGGGCTACCTGTGTTTTTGGGTCCTGTCATTCAAAAGCAAAAGGTTGCTGTGATTAGTCTGCAGTAGGAATGCAGAAAATAGCATCTTTCAAGTCCAGGACTAAGAACCAGCCATATGTTCCTAGAATAGCTGTGAGCAGTGTGTGGATTAGGCACCACAGGGTGTAAGTCTTGGATTACTTCATTAATAGCCCTCAAATGTTGGACAAAGTGATACTCTGCTGAGTTTGACTTTTTGACTGGGAGGATAGGGTTTTTATATGAGGACCTGAAAGGTTTAATCAGTCCTGTTTTCAAAAACTTCTACAGAATTGGCTGAATTCCCTTGCGGGTCTCTTGTCTCAGAGGATATTGTTTTAGATTAGATGTCCCACGGGATTTGTATTGATCTTGCGTTTTTGGCCTTCCCTGGAGTGCCATCAGCCCCCACTTCTTGCCTTACCTTTTTGTAGACCTCAGGGGGAAAGAGCTCTGTCTCTTTTTCTAGGGTTTCCATGAGTGCCATTTGTAGGTTTAAAGCATGCTCCAGTGGGACCCTGATGTTAAGCTGTCCTGGTGAAAATGTTACTTGAACATTTAATTTACAAAGGAGATCTTGACCCAAAAGGCGGATTGGACACTCTGGCATATATAAGAAGCTATGTTTCAGGGTGAGGTCCCCTAGTTGACATTCTAGAGATTTTAAGAATGAATGGTTTTGTACTTCTCCAGAGACTCTGGTGACCAGACTGAGATGTTCTCTGTGCCACCTTGGTTTTTACCAGAGAACATCCCCACCAGAGCCCTACCCGGTTATGGCCCCTCCAGTTCAGTGGCAGCCTTTCTGCCCTCAGGGTAAGAAGCAGTTAATCTGACCTAGTCCTGCTGCAGCCCTGAGCCAGGAGGACATGGAGGGGTTTCCATGGGCACTCCCAGGGCCCATGCAAGCTGCACTTGCCTCCTTACCCAGGCTTCCTCCTAGCAGCTAGGAACTTGACTGCAGTGGCTGCCCCTTGTCATCAAAAAAGAAAAAATGCAACACTTAGTTTTGCTAAGGTGTGAAGGTTTTGACGTGTTAATACCTGGCCAAAAAGGTCTCAAATTTGTAAAAGTGAAACCCCACAACCCAGATTGGGACTTGAACCCACTGTCTTTTATTTGAGATCACACACCTGGTCTCAGGACTTAATGAAGCGCAGGTTCTTTTGTGTCTGTACACAGAAAGAATTCAGTGAGAGACAAAGTGATAGAAGTAGATTTATTTAGAGAGATACACATTCCACAGACAGAATGTGGTCCAGCTCAGAAGACGAGATGGCCCCAGGGCATGGGTTTGTCTAGGAAAGTGAGAGCGGCCAAGGGAGAAGCACACTCCACAGACAGAGTGTGGACCATCTCAGAAGGCGAGAGGCACCGAAACACAGGGTGGTTAGTTTTTATGAGTTGGGTAACTTTATAAGCTAATGAGTGGCAGGATTATTCCAACTATTTCAGGGAAGGGGCAGGGATTTCCAGGAATGGGCCACCGTCCCACTTTTTGACCTTTTCTGGTCTGCCTCGGAACTGTCATGGCAACTGTGAGTATGTCGTTTAGATGCTGATGTGTTACAATAAGCATATAATGAGGCTCAAGGTCGACTAGAAGTTGAATCTTTCACCATCTTGGACCTAGTTTTTCCTAACCAGTTTATGCCATATCCTCAAGGGCTATGTCATTCTTTTCAAGGTTGTGCCCTGCTCCCTCCCCTCCTGTTTCAAAAGGGCTAGGAGACCAGTCAACTGGAGCCAGAGTGTGGGCCTGTCCTCCTCCCTTCCCTCCCCCGCTCCTTTCTTCCTCTCTTTCCGCTCAAACCTACATAGCATGTCAAGCCTCCAGCAGCCTCTGTATTAATCTCTGGGGATTTAAAAGTGAATAAAACCATGTCCCTGCCCTTACATGGTGGGAGACAGACATTTATCTGAACAATAGTCTTCTGAATAATAACGCAGAATGCCTATAGTGGTAGAGAAATCCTCAGTCCTCTGACAGCATAAAGGCAGGAGTGAGGCCAGGGAAGTTTTCAGGGTGGGAAGGAGCTCCTGTGGGTGTCATAGGAAGAGCAGGTGTCAGGCATGTGGGCTCAGAGAAGTGTGATTCCTGGTAGAGGATCCAGCCACCCAAAGGCAGCCCCGGGCTCATATCTGTGGTATCAGGCGTTATTATGGTTGGCTTGGAAACCCTCATCCCTTCACGACTCATCCCCAGGCTGCCTTTGTGTGAAGTTTCCTGTGATTTCCCTCGAGGCCCCAGAGTACCCGTGCACACATCACGCACAGAATGGAACAAAACCGGAGCTCCCAGGGGAGGTGGCCACTTCCTGTTGGCCTCTGAGTTCTCAGCCCACACAGAATGCATTTCCACACGGGGTAGGTTTGCCCTGTAGAGTCAGATTACAGTGAGATCCAATAAGGAGCTCAAGTTTGGGCTTTTTCTTGTGGGAAATAGGAAGTTGCTATAGGAGATTATGTGCAAAAGGGATGTAAGCAGAGAGGGTAGGGGGTCCCTGGAGAAAGAGAACCAGGCATGGCTTCCTTGACATAAGAGAAGCCATTTTGGCCTGAGCCATTTGGAGATCTAAGCCTGGAAACGACATTTGTCCTTGAACAGGTCTCAGTAATCAGTGGTCTTAAGGAAAGTGAGGGAATGCAGGAACAAAGGAAAAGCAGTCAAGAAACAATAGTTCAATGATAAAACAGAGCCCTAGTTCCTCCTCGAGGGATATGCCTCAAAATCTGATACAGTCTGAGTTCTGCAGGAACCAAGGTCCCCACCCAGGTGGAGGATGGGAAGATGACGTTGACCCTCCTGACTTCAGTCAACTAAAGCTTAGACTCTGTCGACCTTTGCCCCAATTCTATGCTGAGCTCTCCTCTGCTCAAGCCCCTTCATGAACATGTGCGTACCCTTAGCTTCAAAGGTCCCCAATTTTGCTGTTTGGGGAGACACTGCTTTGGGAAAGATCCCTGGTGCTCTCCTTACTTCCTGCAAGTAATAAATGCTTCCTTCTGATCTTTGGCTTGGTTGTGTCTTTTGACTCAACACCCACCAGAATGTTACACAGTTTTTGGGTTAACAGGGACATTGTCAGATTTTATGTTACAGTGATTTTTTTGGAGGGGGGCACGTTACGCTGGAGGCTTGGATCGCTGGGCTGGCTCTTACCTCCTTCTCTGATCTGACACTTTGTGTCCTGAGCCTTTGTGATGGGCAGGAAGGGACAAGTGAGGGATTGGGCCTCATCTCAGGGAGGGAGGAGCAGGGAACAAAGGCCAGGAGGATGGATCTGAAGACACATATTAAAAATAAAAATCTCTCAGGATGCTTTGGACTGAAAGCAAGAAGCTCCGGCTGCAAATGGCTTTAAGAAGAAGGACTTACACCATATGCTGAGGCAGAAGCAGAGCCACGAGTGGTCTCAGAGTTTGTGCACTGGCTCCAGACATCCTCGGAGACCCAGGCATATTCCATCGTTCCCCTCAGTCATCCTCTCCCCACCAGGGATGTTTCCCCAGTGGTTGTGTTAGGGGAACCACTGACTGAAACCGCCCATCCTGGCCAGGCCCGATAGCAACCACTTGCATGAGTTCTCTTACAACAGGAGGTCCTGGTGAGGAATGTGGAACTAACGAGCTACCACCAACCACAAGAATTCGGCAAAGGTCAAAAGGAGAGAGGAGATGCCAGTCCATACATCCTACCAACTTCCCAGAATCCTCCTGGCTGGAATTCATCTCAGCTGAATGATGCGTGCGCCACCAGGAAGGAGCCTGAGTCACAATGATTGGCCAGAGACAACCCGGAAACTAACCCCATCACCATAAAACCTGAGACTGTGAGTCACGTGGCAGAGCAGTTCTCCTGGGTTCCCTTACCCTCTTGCTCTCCACCTGGGCTCCCTTTCCCAATAAAGTCTCTTACTTGGTCAGCACATGTGTCTCCTCGGACAATTCATTTCCGAGTGTTAGACAAGAGCTCACTCTTGGACCCTGAAAGGGGTCCCCCTTCCTGCAACAGTTGAGGGAAGACAGCAGAAGAGAGGGCACCTTCTCAGTCACTCTATAGTAGAGAAAACCTCCTTCCCCAGGAGGCCCCAGCAGAAGTCCCAACATGTGGTCATTGGCCAAGTCTGGCTCCAGCGCCCAGAACTCCTCAGGCAGCATGGGAAGGTGGGGTGTGCCATTCTCCGCCACTGGAGCCAAGTGGGCTGTGCACGTGGAGAGCAAGGCGGGGAGGGGTGACCCTCAGTCACATCCCACACACCAGCAATCCTGCAGGGTTCATTTCTGTGTCTCCCCATTGGGATTCACAATGGAATTCTCACAACAATGGGGAGAATCCTTTTAAAGGAAGAGGGGTGCCGAGGAGTCAGCATCCTCCATCCCAGCTAGACTCCGTGGGTCTCAGGAACAAACCACTGAGTGTCTGGTCCACGGTCCACTGAGCTGGAGAAGGCTGCTGATCCTATGGGAGGAAGAAAGGGGGCCCCCAGGTGCTTCCCTGGGATCGTGAGTGAATCAGGGGCTTAATCAGCCACGAAGCAACATTCTCAAGTGGCAGTGCTGAGCCATTAGGCGCAACTAATAGCTGCCTGTTTTTGAAAGATGCTAGGAACCAGACAGTGAGGGAGTTCTTTGCATGCATTCCTGCTAATCCTGATTGTGCACACGTTACCCCTACGCCTGACTTGCCAAAAAGGACGAAAGGTTTCCTGTCACCTGTTGACCACCAGCTCCTTCTCTGTTCTCTCTAGCCGCCACCCCCAGTTTCTCCGTGTGACTGAATTTGTACAGGTGCCTGATTTCTCAGGAGGGAGTTGCTCTTATTTTAGGCTCTCCCTGGTCTAGGAGCTCAGCCTGGAGCTGCACAGGTATCCTTGCTGGTGTTTTGTTTTGTTTTTCACTATTGTTGGTGTTTTCTGTGAGCGTTCAGGTGGTCTTTAGCAGCCGGCCCAGTGCCCATGGAGTACGGGGCCCCTTATGTGAGGAAGGGGGGGGTGCTAGAACTGCAGTCACTCTGTGGGGTGCTGTTGAGAATCCCCAGAGACCAACCTGGCCAACTCTTGTCCCCTTTCTCTGGCGTGTGGCCTTGTCTGTTGGTCACCTTTGCTGCCCTCTGGGCACTCTGACCACCGCCCTAACCCTTCCCTCCCTGAGCACGGACACAGGCCCCTCCCTTGTGTCCCCAAAGCACAACTAATACCATGCTGGGGCAGCTTACAAGACTCCTCTGAGGCTTGGGCATGGCCTGGGAGATGACATACAGAGGAGGGGAGGGCCACGCTGATTCTCAGGCATATGAGCAGAATATCTAAGGAAGAACCTTGTTGGGTGCCATGTGGACTAACGGGGGATGAGGCTGAAAGTGAGAGTTGCTTTTTGGTGTAAACTTTCTGAATTTTGCACTTAAAATTTTTAACCATGCGTATCTATTCCTTTTTCCAGCTCACTCAATCAGTTAAACAACCAATAAACAAACAGGCACTACTGTGTCCAGAAGCCCTTCCCAAGGGTCTTCTTCTACGTCAGCCTGCGACCCTGAGATCCCCTGCTGAGTCTCCAGGGCCCCAACACAATGTCAGGAAGAAAAGCCACAGCACCCTGTCCTGACCTCCTGCCCTGGCTCCTCTCATACATGTCCTTGGTGTCCCCTAAGATGTTCTTGACCCCTGGGCAGATGGCCTCTTACACAACTATGCAGTATACCTCTCGTTGCTTCATCTCTTCTTTCCTAGGAGAAGATTTAGGCTTTATGGCAAAACTAAAAGTTCCACTGAAAAGTCTGCCTCTGTTTGGAGAGGCCCAGTGGCCAAAAGACAACTGAGAAAGTGCTGGCAGCCCCAAGACTGCAGTTTTTTACATTTCACATGGGGTCCTGGAGCTGAGGGACCCGGGAGGTCTCAGAGTGCAGCCAGCCCACTGTACTGATGAAGACATTGTGAGTCACAGGGAAGATAGGGCTGGAACTTGAATTCCCCTCCGCCCCGCCCCCCCCCCCCAACCGGAAAACCCTGGTGGCCCTGTCACGGGCTGGGCTCTGGGCCCTGACATCCCGTGCGCTCTGGTTCCACCTCCAGGCTCCCCCGGGGGCCACGTAACTGAGCCTGGAGTGGGCTCCAGGGCGGAGTATTTCTGGAGTGGGTGGGAAGGGATGAGAGATCCAAGTCTGACCTGGGCAGAGGTTTGACAACTGGAAGGTACTGCATGTAGCCCTGCAGACCTTCCCCACAGGGAAGCTGCGGCGGCGTTTTCAGTGGGTGCCAGCTCTGAGGGGGCAGAAGCAGGAGCTCTTTGAGGTGGGAGCCGGCCGGCCCTACAGGCTCGTCCACAGCAGCTCTCAGACGGAGGCTGCACGTCTGCAAGAAACCAGGTTCAGCCAGGGAGTGTGGAAGGCACCCCAGCGGTGCTTGCTGAGGCTGAAACAGCGCACAGTCAGGCGTGGGTCCAGGTGACACTGAGAGTCAAGAGTGCTAAGCACCGGGACTGCATCCTGCCATGTCCTCCATCTGCTTCCTTTTCGGCCTTTCCATGGTTCTTCAGGGCAGTGCTTCTTAATTATGGGTGATGTCAGAATCACTAGCGGAGTTATTTTCCCCAAAATTGACCTGCCAAAGCCCACTTCAGGGATTCTGATGTTGGAGTCTGAGGTGACAATTTTGAAATTCCCCCTGGGTAATTCAGGTGAATGAGCCCATGGTCCTCAAACTCTGCCTCTTTCACACAAGGCGGGGCGGGGGGTAGAGGAAGGGGGCAGGGTTGAGTGGGCAGAGCACCGGCTCAGGGCTCAGGATGCGAACCTCCGCCTTCGTCCCCTTATCTCTGCCCGGAGTGCCAGCTGCTCTCAAGGTCCTACCTGAGCCTGTGCAGTTCACCTGGAACACACTCTGCTCATTTCCGTGTTCACCCTTTTGCTGCCAACATTCTTGCAGCTGCAAAGTCTGATGCTCTTCCTCCTTAGGAAACCTCCCTGCTAACTTCCCTCCAACCCCCTGACTTCCTACTACATTCACAAACTACACCCCTGGGGGTATATTCGCTACGCCCACTTCACAGTTTAAAGTCAGGGGGCTCTTGCCTCTTACTAGGTCCTGTTTCCATTTCCTAGAACATCTAGCTAAGGGCTATACTTATTGAGCAAATGGAATAAGAAGAAATGAATGTCCATGGGAATGAAATGTAGGTAGAAAGAGCAAATGAATCAAGAATGAATAAGTGATTGCAGACTCTCCCCAACCTCTGCTGAAAATAGACCAAACCTGGTCACTCTCTCATATTCTTTCCCAAACCTCTTCCCTCTTCGTAAGGTGGTTGAGGTTGGGGGTGACAATTTTTTTAAAAAATTTATTTTATTTTTGAAGTATAGTTGATTTACAATGTTGTGTTAGTTTCTGTCATACAGCAGAGTGATTCAGTTATATATATATATATATATATATATATATATATATATATACTTTTCATGTTCTTTTCCATTATGTTATTACAAGATATTGAATATATTTCCCTCTACTATACAGTAGGTCTATTTTATATATGGTCTATTTTATATACGGTAGTGTGCATCTGTTAGTCCCAAACTCCTAATTTGTCCCTTCCCCCACCTTTCCCTTCTGGTAACTATGAATTTGTTTTCTATGTCTGTGAGTCTCTTTCTGTTTTGTTAATAAGTTCATTTGTATCATTTTTTAGATTCCACATATAAGTGATATCATATGATATTTGTCTTTCTCTGTCTGACTTACTTCACTTATTATGGTAATCTCTAGGTCCATCCATGTTGCTGCAAATGACATTATTTCATTCTTTTTTACGACTGAGAAATATTCCATTATATATATATATATATTCCATTATATATATATATTTTATATATATATATATCACATCTTCTTTATCCATTCATCTGTCGATGGACATTTAGGTTGCTTCCACATCTTGGCTGTTGTAAATAGTGCTGCAATGAACCTTGGGATGCTTTTCGAATTAGAGTTTTTTCTAGATATATGCCTAGGAGTGGGATTGCTGGATCATATGGTAGCTCTATTTTTAGTATTTTAAGGAACCTCCATACTGTTTTCCATAGTGGTGGCTCCAATTTACATTCCCACCAACAGTGTAGGAGGGTTTCCTTTTCTTCACACCCATTTCACCATTTGTTATTAGTAGACTTTTTAATGATTATTTTGACTGGTGTGAAGTGGTACCTCACTGTAGTTTTAATTTGAATTTCTCTGACAATTAGCAATGTTGAGCATCTCTTCACGTACATATCGGCCATCTGTATGTCTTGGAGAAATGTCTATTTCGGTGTTCTGCCCATTTTTTTTTTTTTAATTGGGTTGTTTGTTTTTCCTTATTGAGTTGTATGAGCTATTTGTATATTTTGGAAATTAATCCCTTGTCTGTTGCGTCATTTGCAAATATTTTCTCCCAGTACGTAAGTCGTCTTTCTGTTTTGTTTATGGTTTCTTTTTTTTTTTCTTTTTTTTTTTTTTGCGGCACGCGGGCCTCTCACTGCTGTGGCCTCTCCCGTTGCGGAGCACAGGCTCCGGACGTGCAGGCTCAGCAGCCATGGCTCACGGGCCCAGCCGCTTGGCGTCATGTGGGATCTTCCCGGACCGGGGCACGAACCCGTGTCCCCTGCATCGGCAGGCGGGCTCTCAACCACTGCGCCACCAGGGAAGCCCTATGGTTTCTTTTGTTGTGCAAACTTATGAGTGTGATTAGGTCCCATTTGCTTATTTTCATTTTTATTTCTGTCGCCTTGGGAGACTGACCTAAGAAAGCATTGCTATGATTTATGTCAGAGAATGTTTTACCTATGTTCTCTTCTAGGAGCTTTATAGTGTCATGTCTTATATTCAAGTTTTTAAGCCATTTGAGTTTATTGTTGTGTGTGGTGTGAGGGTGTGTTCTAACTTCATTG